CTTAGAATGGAAATGAACTGGAGAGGGCAAGACCTTGTGTCCCTTATTTTAGAAACTGGGAAAGGTATTATATGAAAGAGGCAAGGGGTCCAGCAGAACTCTTCCTTGCTGCCACCCAGGATTCCAGAGGTTTCTTAGGTTTTTCAAGAGGACAAAAAACAAAAAGTTAATACTGTTAACTTAAGGTGAAAGAAGAAAAAGAAAGAAAACTTTTTTTTCAAATCCCTGCAGCTTTGTTCTTTCTGATGCTTCTTGGCTGGGCTCTGTGCTTTGCCCATGAAAAAGGCTATGTAAACGGCTATAACAAAAGCAAACAGCAGTGTTTGTCCCTACAGTGAAACAGTAGCTATGCTCAACGCTCAGATGGACTTGGCAGTGCCGGCTTGGGCCTATTTCCACTCCCATCTTGGCCTCAGAGATCCCATGTCTCTCCCTCCCCCAACAGCCTCAGTCTATAGATAAAGGAACCATTCAGTGTGATCTTAAATGGAGGCCGAAGTTCTCTCAGAAGAGAAGATTGCGATGAAGAATGGCAAACTGGGGGTTGAGGGAGAGCCGGTCTGCCAAAGGCAGGCATCTTGGTTATGCTATTCAATTCCCTTGTGAGGGAAGCACAGGCTGGCTCAGGCTCTGCCAGGACTTGCTCTGGGTATTATCTGAATGGCTGTTATATACAGAGGTCATGGAAATGGCACTTTGCCCAAATTATACAAGTGTGGAAAACAACAGCTGATTGTTGTTTTCCACACTTGTATATTGCAGAGGCAAAGATTAAGATTCCTGAGTCTGATATCTTCCATATGTTGGACTACTCTCTTAATCATCCAGCAGACTGGCTAAAGGGTTATTGACTTGGTTCAACATATTTGTAGGACATTTGGTTGGGGAAGGGTGGAAAAATGGAAACACAAGAATGTATAACATTTCATCCTGAACCAATCTGTTATCATTTCTATCTGTCTGTCTATCAGCTAGCTAGCTCTAGCTAGTTCTAACTTGGGGGAGAGAGGGGGAGAGGGAGATTTTATGACTCTAGAAGAGCTGATAAATCATCAGCGAGAATCACTTTTCAAGCTGATTCCCCCGAGCCACACAGAATAACAAAAATCCTCATCCCAGTCTCATAAAAAGGAAGCAAACTGCTCACATGCATTTTCCTGAGGTTTGCAAGAAAGCTGAGAACCTTTTGTGGTGGCAAGTTATCTGAGGGAAGGTCAGTTACAGTAAAAAAAAAAAAAAAAAGTGAACAAAAGCACTGACTGCTTCTAAAAGATTCCTGACTGACTTGCTGCCATCCGTTTGTTGCTTTTTAAAGCTCCTGTGATCTGTGGCGAAAGGACAGCAAGTCCGCTATTGTGCAACAGGGTGGCTTCCCCATTCACTGACCAGGGTTGCATATTGTTGGGTTGGTTAGATTAGGAGAGAAGAGATATGTTAGAAACTGAGACAAGCTTTGGAAACAGGATACTGAAACCCTGTGGAAAGAGGAGACAGGTAAAGGTGGCTCGGAGACAGGATGAGGCAAAACATCACATCAGTAGAAACATGGGTAGCCCATAGGTTCTGTAGAACCAGACAAATTGAAAAGAAAATGTTTGTTGCAGTTTCATATGGACAAGGATAGTCAGAAGTCAGTAGGAAGAACTTCTTATATCTTCATAAAAGGAATTACGTTCTTTGTATATATTTTTGTTTTCTGTATACATGTATATGTATATATATATATTTGCATCTCTCCATCTTTCTTTCTGATTTAGTTTTTATGTGTATGTTCTGTAAAAAAAAGTTAATAAATTATTCTTTAAAAAGGCATCCCCATATCTGTGCTCTGCCTTCCCAAGGAAGCTCATAATATTGTAATAATCTTTTATTTAAAAAACCCCAAATAATTAATTACCCTACAAATTTAAATATCCTGCCACAGTGGGAAAAAAACCCAGGCACAATTGCTGCTAAAACCCAGTATGCTACAAAGGATTTCTAACCATAGTTTGGCTTCAGGCAGATAATAATTAGCCTCATTTCATTCTCATCCAGGTAATGAGTAGGTGTGCTGTAAATTATAAGTAATTGTGTCTATCTTTGCCACTGTAGTGGTCTGTATGTTTCTATAGTTGCCAGCCAAAACAATATGAAATTGTATCTTTGAACTGATCTGTTTCCATTCAGTGAAAATATTCTAACCATGGGTGTCCAACCTTGGCAACTTTAAGACCTGTGGCCTTCAACTCCCAGAATTCCCCATGCTGGCTGGCCTCTCCAAGGATATTTGGGGAATTTGTTCTTCTAAACCACAATAAAATCAGCTCCAAAACCAACCCGAGTCTGCTTTTCCTATCATGTTAGCTTTTTCCAGCACAGCACCTTCTCCTCTGGACACTGGATTTGTTATGTTTTACAACTGGCATTGGTTTCTTCCAGCTACCTCTCAAGCTCAGAAGCCCATTGATCAGGAACGACAAAGCTCTCTCAAATTTCAGGGTACAAACATCACTTTCCATCTAGCCAATTCACCTTTAGGTTAGGATAAGATCATTTTAAATCAAGGTCTGATTTAACATTTTGAGTATATTTTGAAACACCCTGTTTCAGAACAGAATTGCTGCCCTCAACCTGAAGCACTGAATTACAGACCTCAACATTTCTAGCCAAGATAGCCCTTAATGGTTGGGGAAGAATTACAATTCACATTTGGAGGGCATCAGCTGGTTAAACGCTGGATTAAATAACTCATGTCCAAGCTGAAACTTTCATCTCAGAATGTTTTTCATTCAATTTTTGTCCAGAAGATAAGCATGAGAAAATCTATGACAAAAAAATAAGCACATTGGTGAAAAATCAAGAACTGTTAACTTCATTTTTTTCAAAGTTCCATAGCAGTGCATCGTGTGACATGTTGGCTACATGTACCACCACAATTTTTTTTCCAACAGTCTGTGGTCTCCAACTTGGGCAGCACAATCTGCAGTCCATCTGTTACAGGCCACAATCTCCCAGTGACTGGACACTCCTTTTCCTTTGTGCTGGATTATTAAGTAAGAAACAGACATGCAATCAGGGCCCAGTTGACCCTCAGCTGGACTGCATTTGTTTTAATGGGTCCCCATCACAAACTGTGATTCCATTTAGTATTTTCTTCACCCCCCACTTGAATTGCTGCTTGTTAAATCCTCCACCTTCCTTCTAGAGTTTGCTTCCACTCAGGGCTTGATTAATAATTACACAGAAGCTAAGTACACAGAAACACAAGGCTAATTCAAGGTCCTATCATTCAGCAGTTCCATAGTAGCTTCTCCTAGCTCTCCCTTTCATGTAAACAAAGAACAGTCCTTATCAATATGCATTTGTCCAGTGTCCAGTCTATCTTCTGGGTAAAGGGTTGCATAGAAAAAAAAATTACAGGTAGTCCTCAACTTATGACCACAAATGGAAAAATTGTTAAGCAATTCAATCATTAAGCAAGACATCACATAATTGCACCTGATTATATTTATTTTGCTGTGATCGTTAAGCAAAGCTGTTTGTGATCTTCCCTGCTAGCTTCTCTGTTGAGCTTGCTTTTTGGAAACTGGCTTGGACAGTCACAAATGGCAATTATGTGATCCTAGGAGGCTGTAACCTCTGTAAATATGAACTAGTTGTCAAGAACCTGGACTGTGATCACATTACCACTCTGACACTTGCCACGTGTGAAGACAGTCACAAGTCACTTTTTTCAGTGCCATCATAACTTTGAACAATCACTAAAGAAAATGGTTGAATTAGTCTCTGCTCCCCTCCACAATTTATGGTCCCAATATTTTGCCTGCCTGGAGTCATGCTTAAGGTAATCTCGTAAAGGACCTTTCTGAGTAATCCACTGGAATCGGTGCTTATTTTTGATTAGACGTATGTAGGAGGTTAGGGTTTATTTTCTGAAAAACAGAAGCAGACAAGCAGCAACAGTGGTGGGGTTTGGTAGGATAAATATTGGGGGATCCAAGATTTTTCAAGGTCATTTTGGGGTATTTGTTTTAATGAAAAAACATAGTTTTTGTGCACTTCCCCTCTTCAGGCTTCTGAGTTCAAAAATTGGTGGCTTCAGAGATTCCCAGAAAGGGATTCACAAAAGCTAAAGCTAAACAGGCCAGCTGTTAAAGAAATCTGTGGATTCTTTTGAGTGTTTCCCTTTCATGATGCATATGAGCAGAAGCAAACCAGTCATACCTGGATTGCATTCATTGCGTCTAAAAGTAATCTTTACTTTCAAGTAGGTTTAGCAGTGCAACTAAAGAGGTATTTGTAAACATACTTCAGTATGTTGTAACAATCTCCTAGTTTTAAGTGGAGTTCAAAAGCAAACTACAGGCACCCACCCAGAATAAGAATTTAATGGATATAAACATTGTCCCCCCTTTTTTTGCTTACTCTTAAGCAAAATAGCTAACAAAAACAAAATGTTGAAGCGTCATCGAACCAGATAAGTCTTTCAATTCTATCAATCGTTTTTTTTGGTTGCTCTGCCACCCACCCTTGTCTACTAACAATTAGTGAACATACTCAATCATTGCTCGATAATGTTGTGAATACCCATCCTTTCTCTTCTACTTTTCTAAATTTGGACCTTAAATTTGTGAGTCCTTGTGCAAAAATTCCCTGAATCTGTAAATGCTTCTCTCTTTTATGCTTTCCTCCTTGCTTCACTGAAATTGCTAATAACTGATAAGATTCTGTTCATACATAATCTCTTCTGAGTCCCAAGTTCTTTGGCCAGCACTGCAGCTGTTTTCAGTGAAAAGTGTGATTAGAGAGAATCATAGCTGGAAAGAGATTACATATCCTTAGAAGCATAAAGGTGTCTTCAATGAAAGCTAAATATGTTAGGAATGTATCCTGTGTCAGATACCAAAATCCTACATATATCAATACTAAACAAAAAGAGATTGGCTCATTTTTAGCACTCCACACACTTGACTGAAAGGAATACTCTGAAGTTCAGAAAAGGTTATCTCAGGTTTACAAACTAACTTTTACCCAGTTGCAACCATTAAATTATGTGATTGTCAGTACCATTTATTACAAAAACATCTTTCACATTATAAGGGGTGGAAGAGATCAGGTTTAGAAGACAGAAAGGTCTCATCAGGTCTTTTGTGACTTTTTCTATACCAGTTTTCTGCAATCTAGCACCCATGAGATAGGTTAGGCCTGTAACACCTTGATTTTTTTAGATTTGGCTGCCCAGCTGGCAGATGCTATCCCAACATAATTGGAAGATGCCTAGAGTAGTTAGGTTAGGTACTTTCTTCCCACCTATACTTTCAATTGCGTTTCAATGCAGTAGAAATAAAACCACAGGTGCTAAATATTCCACAGTTGTTATCCTTCTCCAAGCATCATCATCTGACTGCATAATAATACTTCAGGGATGAGATCATCTCAATATCAGTGAAGAGGAAGGGCGCGTCTTCCTAAATAATACCAGTTTTTAAAAAGTGGATTTTGTGTTCTAAAGGAAAGCCCAACAGGACATGGACATTGGTGTTTTCCAACAGGAGAGAGGCTCAAGAAGATGTGTGGAGTGGTCTAATGTTTTCCCATCTCAGTGAAAACTAGGCTGCCCTACCTAACACTCAGAGGAAGGGGAGATCTTCAGCGCACCACTTGCTGTTTCTCCTGGTGCTTGTAGCAATTGATGTAGTGGTGGCCATTGATACAACAGTGATCAAATGCTTCCAAGGAACCCCAACCTGGCTGTGACCGTGCCACTGTGCCAATGCAGTTTGTACAGCAGTGAATGCCCAGCCAATGGCTCAGTTGTTTGAGGTCCTGCAGCTAACAAAACAGAAGTAGTCTCTGCCTATCTTTGAGTCTTTCCTAGCAATCCGTCTGATGGTCTGAGCTGGGACTGTCCAAGATGCTTGACGGTACAGGATGAGGCTGCTGCTTGCAGTGAAACATGCTGGAAATATAGAAAGCCTGCAAAGGAAAAGATGAGAAAAATGGCATAAGAGAGCCAACCACTTTAGAACAGTAACTACTAAAAAGGTCAGCGCATTTAAGAGACAACATCCAACTCCACTATTATTGCACTGAGTCTACAGTTTAAATCTTTGGCTAAAATGGTCCCTTCCAACGTTCTGGTATGGCTACTAAATATACCCAGTTTCTGATTTACTGGCTAGGCTATTAATATCAGAAATAGAAGACACTGATCAAAATGTTATGAATTTCAAATTTCCATACATTTGCTTTCAGTTTGTGTCTTCCTAAAAACATTCACAATTTTCTGAATTTCAGTATATCTCAGCCTTGTGCTCCCTTTGCTGTGCTGGAAGCAGATGGGAGGGGCTGGAATCACACAACCAGGGTAGGAAATGGAATGAGTTCCTCCAGGCTGTCTACAGACAATACTTACAAGGGTGTGTGTTTCCTGGCAGTTGTGCTAAGCCCTGTGTCTTTGCTTACTTCCCAGACCAGTTCCTTCTAACTTAACTAGCCATCATTAATTTCCTCCACAACACAGCAACAGAATCCTTATGGATTTTAAAGAGCAGGAAAAGAGTAATGAAAAGGGGCGAGTGAAAGAATTAAAGAAAACGGATAAAGAGGGAGTGATACATGTCTGATATAGGTTAAATATTCAGTCCCTCTTTCACGATGTTTAGAGCAGACCTCATGCAGATTATATTCAAATAATGTTATGGGTACTACAAATAGGACAGGCAGAAGAACCTTATTTTTCCCTATAGTTATTAGCTAAAGATTCACTGCCACAATGTCTACTAGTATTGACAGCTCAAAAAGTGAGAGAAGACGATAGCAGATCAATCAATAGCAATTTTCTATAATAGCCAAATGAAACCTACACACCGAGAATCTGTTGGTGGGCAAATGGGAACATAGGTCAGTGGCCTTTGAGCCGAGCTTGTGAGTGTCTAGGAACGTCAGTCAGTCTGACCTTTGAAACAGGATACAAAACCAGATGAGCCTTTGCTGTAATTCATAGTTGCCTAATCAGCATGTAATTACGTATTTAGTACGTAAAAGTATTTATTAGCTGGTCCAAAATAAGGACTAACTGTTGCACAACCCTGCAAACCAGAAGCATGTCTGTGGGCTTTCCTATGAGAGCAGAACTAACAAGTGAACAGCAATTGGTTGAAGAATTAGTTCAACTGCAAATTAGGAGTTAGCATATCTGGGCTGTAAACATCCAGCAACTATTAAGATGGCAAGACAAGCTTAGAATTCTCTGAAAATCTTTGCTGCAGTTTTGTGGTCATCCAGATATTTTTAGTCCAAACATAATAGACTTACTTGAAACAATTTCAAGCTTACTTGATGAAATACACTTGTGTACGTAAGAGCACAAGCAGTGCCCTGTTGGATCGGCCAGCAGCCTTTTCCCACAGCAGCCGACCACCTGCAGAAAGATGCCCAGGAGTCTTCCAGCAGAATGCCTTCAGAGGCAACCCCACAGCTTTGGAGCCTAATAGCCATTGATCCCCATTTACTGATCCAACCTTTTTTTGAAGCTAGCCAAACTGGTAGTCAGCACCACATCTTGTGCTAGTGAATACCAAAGTTTAAATAATGTAATGTAATCCCCCTGCCTTTGTCTGCCCCAAATCTTTCAGGATTCAGTTTAATTAGGTAACCTCGGGTTCCAGTATGGGGAAATGTCTTGTCCTCTTTTTCCAAATCATGCATAATCTTTTAAACCTCAATCATGTCCCCTCCTAGTCTCCCCCTCCTAGTCTCTTCCTTTTTAGATTTAAAAAACCACAAATACTGCAACCTTAGTTCATAGGGAAACTGCTCCACCCTCTTGATCATTTTAGTTGCCCTCCTTTGAACTTCCTAGATATTCTAGATGTGGTTGCACCATTTATTTATATAAGGGCATTAATATATTGGATCACCATTTTCAATATTGTTTTTTTTATTATCACCATCATGCTGGTCTCCTTTATTTTTACAGTGGATGTACACCCCTGACTACAGGTACGTTTTTCTTATCTGCCTTTCCTTCACCAAGTGCATCCCTCAAAGAACACTGTAAGATGAATCAGGATGGGAAAAACCGATTGGCCCCAATAGCTTTATAGGCAAATAGAGAGTTAATCCTGGGTTTCTGATCTTAGTCCAATATCCTATATCACTTGGATTCTCTAAAAAAAAAAAAATAGATCATGCAAAATAAAAAGGAAATTATAACACTTACTTAACTTGCGCAATCTGCACAGATTCACTTTATTTTTGATCGAATAGTATAGAACATTATAGAATTTAGTATAGAATTAAAATAAATAAGGCCAGTCTCTGCATATAAGAACATAAAACAATGGAGGTTAGAGAGCAGCTTTCCCCATCTGTCCACTTTCACATCAGCTGGGCTACATCTTCCATTATACCCAACCCATCATTGCTGGTTTCTTGTCCTGACCCACCCTGCTCTTTTAGCTTCCAAAGGGAAGCCCTTATTTCCTGCTTTATTTTGGCAATACCTCAGTTGAAGTTAAGGGAAGTTGTTCTTAAGCATCATCACCACACAGGCTCCCTACTGCCCAATACGGCTAACTTGGTCACCTCTTCTTTTCCAGTGGCACAGTCAACAATGTTTAGTCAAATAGGAATGACCAATTTTTACCATCCTCACAATTGCTGCAAAAGTGGCTGGAAGACTGTCACTCCCTACCTTTTTTCTGTCTGACTGTGGGAATGTGAAACTTAATACACCATTCCTGCAGAAGTCCCTTTTGGGGTGGGGGACTATTCTACAACTTTGTTTCAGCAGCCAGGTCAGAGGGCTAACCCTCAGTCTGGGTGTCAAAGCTGACATAGGACCTAAAGATGCTTAAAAAACGTAAATCTCTTAAATCCAATGCTAATTAGACATAGCTGTTTGCACCACATGCTTCCCTGCAGCCCCCACCTCCATTAAACATGTTGAGCAAACAAGGCCAGAGTTTATGTTAAGGGAGGAACAGGTAAACCAGGCTTTCAGAGTTGGATTTCTCTCCACCACACAAATGAAATTCAATTCCCCAAAGACTCATGCTGGATGGTGAATTCTGAGAAGTATAAGAGGAAAAAGTACTAATGACCAGGACTTTGAAGATAACACACTTTCATTCATTTTAGATCTTTCTCCTCATGAATGACAGAAAGAACATAGAATAACACGGTTGGAAGGGGCCCTGGAGGTCTTCTAGTCCAACCTTCTACTTCAGCAGGAGGCTCTATACCAGAGGTCCCCAACCTTTCTAGGTTGGCGGCCCAGAGAAAAAGGAAGGTGCAGGTATGGGGCCCCCTGTGCATGCATGATGCAAACGGGGGTGGCGTGAGTATGTGTGTGATGCTGGGAGCAGGCCTAGTGCCCGTGCAATGCTCGGGGTGGGCCTAGCATCCACGTGACACTGGAAGTGGGGGCTAGCATCCGCACAATGCTGGAGGCAGGCCTAGCACCCGCACAACACTCGGGGCAAGGCTAGTGCCCATGTGAAGCTGGGGGCGCAAGCCCCCGCGCGATGCTGGGAGTAGTGCTAGCACGAGTGGGGGTAATATGCGCACTTGCCAGCCATTCACACAGCCCGGTGGCTAAGAAGCCACGGCCAGGTAATGGGCCACGGCCCACAGGTTGAAGACCCCTGCTCTACACCATTACAAACGGTTGTCCAACATCTGGAAGCAAGCCATTGTTCCACTGAGTGATTCTTTTTGCTGTCGGGAAATTTCTCCTTAGTTTTAGGATGGATCTCTCTTTAAGAACCTTCCACCTATTACTTCTTGTCCTGCCCTCAGAAGCTTTGGAGAATAGATTACCCCCCTCCTCTCTATGACAGCCCTTCAAATACTGGAAGACTGCTATCATGTTACTTCTAATCCTTATTTTGTTAGACTAGACATACTTAGTTCCTGCAACTGTTCATCATACAGTTTAGCCTCTAGACCCCTTATCATCTTTGTTCTTCTTCTCTGCATTCTTTCTACAGTCTCAATTTATTTTTTATATCATGGTGACGACACAGTATTCCAAGGGTGGTCCTACTATTACAGTATAAAGCAGTCCTTCATGTGATCTTGAAACTATCCCTCTGTTGATACAGTCTATGGCTGCATTGGCTTTTTTGGGTAGCTGCAGCTTACTGCTGGCTCATACTTAAGCAGTTACCCACTAGGACACCTAGGTCCTGCTCACAGTCACTACTGTTGAGTCAGTTACCACCTATTCTATACATGTGCATTTAGTTTTTCCTTCTTAAATGTAAGGCCTTACTTTTCTCACCATTGAATTGCACTTTGTTGGATAGGGCCCAATATTCAAGTCTGTCAAGTCTGTCTTTCTGTATCTGGAGTCTATCTTCCAAAGTTGTCTTCAAATTATATGAGTTCCCCTTCTATCATCTCATCTAAATCATTTATGAAGATGTTGAAGAGAACTGGACCTACGACAGAAGTTTGAGGTACCCATTGCATGCTTTCTTCCATTTAGATGTAGTACCATTGAAGACTACATGTTGAGTGTGATTGGTCAACCATTTGCAAATCCATCTGGTGCGATGGTGTCTATCCCACATTTTTCTACCTTACCAAGGAGTAGGTTATGGTCTATTTTGCCAAATGTCTTACTGAAGTCTAAGTAAACTGTTTTCACATTATTTCCCTGATCCATTAATTCAGTCACTTTGTCAAAGAAGGCAATAAATTTTGTCTGGTATAATCTGTTTTTAACATACTCCTATTGGCTTCTAGTAATAGATTTGTTCTTTTCTAGGTGCTTGCAAATCTGCTGCTTGATTATCTTTTCCAGGATTTTCCCAGGTATAAAAGTTAGGTATTGATCTCCTTCTCACTCTCTGAAAGGCAGCCAGAGAGGCAAAAGAGGCCCAGACAGACTGACAAACACAGGTTGTAACTTACCACCCAATAGGCTACAAGTGCTCCTTGCAACAGTCCCACAATTACGTCAGATGGATGGTGCTGATAGTCTGAGACGCGAGTCAGCCCTGTGTATATGGCTAGCATCAGTAACACAAATTGGACCAGTGGGCGTAGCAATCGAGCGCCTCGCCAGGTGAATCGGGCCTGCAGGTAGAACTGGGGAACAAGCAGTGGAAACTGAATATTTAGCAAACAGAAACCCCACAGAATCCGCCCCCAATCTGTTTAAATCTGCACTCTGGCAGAAGCAATGACAATGATCCAGGAATCTCAGAGCAACACTCCAGAGAAATTAGAAAATTAAAGGAAGGGGCTGGCTAGATTCAGCATGGAAATGCAAATAAATGGAGCTTTTTTGCTTAGCATAATAGATTAACCAGTTGATGCCTCATGCTGGCAATTAGAAATCTTTCAGATTCTATTATGAGAAAGGAAAGCAGGGATGAGAGCAACAGCTTTAACCCTTTTCACCTTCCATATTTTCCAGCTGTAAAAACAATTAATGGCAACTTTTTAAAAACAAAGTTAGACAATTTATGCAGAATTGAAAATTTTCCAGATTTCATATTGCCTTGAAAATTAGTTGTTCATAACTGCCTTCTACACATGGAGAGCTGCACAAATGTGAGGGGAGCAGTGGGAAAGTAGTGGACACTTCTCCTCGCTTGCCCTCTTTCCTACACAAGCGTGCTACATTTTGTAGATCCCCTGCATAGGATGACAACAGTGACAGTGACAGATTTCAGAAAACAGTATTCTGGACCTATTGGGAAGATTCTTTTCCAAAAGCAGAGATGGGGGCATTCCAAGTGGGCACCTCTTTGCTGCCCGCTCCGGATGAAGGGCTTAGAATTTCCTTCTGAGTCCGTTTCTTTGGGAGGAGGTAGCCCCTTTCTCAGTTTTAGAAAAAGGTCTCAGGCTTGTGGCCTGGTCCATTTCCATTTCCACAAACAACTCACTTCTCAACTTCAAAATGAATTCGCTAAAATTGGCTGGGCTGTATAGTACTGCTATTTTGTTTCATATTATGTTTAACCATCTATGTTGCAAATTCATACTATAAATCAGACAGTCTTGCTGTTTTTCTCCATAATGGAAATGGCAATTTGGGAGGGGTATTAAGTTCTGCATACCTAGCTTTCCATCCAAATCTCAGTTCCAAAGTTTTCTGGGAGGAGACAATGAATATGAAATCAGTGAAGTTTGTGGATAGATCTGCCTCAAGACAAGACCTCAGTGGTGATAATCTAGAACAGGGGTCCCCAACCTTTCCAGCTCTGCAAACCAGCAGCAGTGGCGGTGGAAGGAAAGGGGATGGTTTTGCGCGCACAACTGCCGCTTACACAAATGGAGCTTTGCACGTTCATTCACAGCTTGTGCGGCTTAGTCCCAATGGGCTGCGGACTGGTACCGGTCCGTAAACTGGGGGTTGGGGATCCCCGATCTAGAAAACACATCTCCAAGCTCTTCAAACTTATGCTGGAAATGTAAACAATAAGAACATTTTATCATGCTTGGTGAATGGGTAAAAAAAGCCAGGAAATTTTGGACTCAATTAGATATAATACAGAATATTTTAAAGACTCATATACAATTAAAACCAGAGTTTGTATTTTGAGATAGAATGATAAGCAGTTGGAAAAAAAATATGGAACCTTGTTTTTTTATATGATGACTGAAGCAAGATTATTATATGCATAAAGGAGGAAAGATTCGATTTTACGAACAATGAAGGAATGGATGGTGAAGATGGAATTTATTGAGATGGCCAAACTGACTGCTTTAAATTTAAATGTCTAAATATAATGATGATTCAAAACCTTTTATTTGTGGGAAATAGAAAAAATGATGTTTGAGTACTAGAATAAAAATAATATAGAAAATGTAAACAATGCTATAAACACAGAGTAAGAGGTTATTTTGTATTTATTCTTATAACCGTTGTAAAAGAAAATCAGGTCACTTCTTTATAATTCTTTTTTCCTTTCCTTTGATTACTGCACCTTTATTCTGCTCCTTTCTTCATTTCTCCTTCATTTTAAATATTAGTTCTTGTTAATTTTTATTCTGTATTATTTTTTAAAAATAAAATGTATATAAAAAAGCAGAGAATACCTATCTCCCTTCTCTGGAAGAGGAATGAAAATATGCTTTCAATGTATTTAGCCAGTGAAAATTCAGAAGCTAAAATCAAGAATCTAAAGAAGAGAGCAGACAAAATACATTTCAGGATGCATGCTAACTCAGTACCAAATATTTTTTTCCTAGTAGTCTCTAGAATTTTCTGCTATCTAGAAGGATTGTGTTGCTATGAAGGCTGCCATTCACACAGGCAAAAACGAAACAAACTCTGAGGAGCTTACTCCATAAAGCAAACTCTTCAGACGATACATCTTCCAATTGTATTTCCCACACCAGTATAAAGCTTGAGGGTGTTTGCTTTAATGAATAATTTTTAAGAGAGCACCTTGTACCAGTGTCACCAGGCTGTTCCTCCACTGGGTTATGTTTAAGCAGCTACTACAATGGGCTGCCGCTTGCATGAGTCTGTCTCCTTTTCTCTGTGGTTCATGTAGTGTGATGATCTGCCCTCTTCCCAAACTTCACTTCTGTAAACCTGAAGAGAGGAACTTACCACTAAGTACATCATGGTATACATGGCAAAGGAGGCATGGCCAGAGTAAAAGGATTTTCTGGAAGAGAAAATAGGATATTTCTCTGAAGAGGTCATGATATGTACTGCTTAGTTTGGTATACTGATTCCAACCACAAAATCTGTGCAATTTGATCATTGTACAACCTTAATCTGATTACACTAAACCACCTTCTTCTGATGCCCTTTTCATGATTTGATGGCTATCCTGAAAAACTCCAATCCCACCAATATTAATCATAAGTACCTCAGAACTCAATGGAATTAAAATATATTATTTTAGGACAGGAGTGTCAAACTGGTGGTCCACAGGCCGGATGCATCATGCACAGGCCAAACCCACCCCGGCTCCGCAAAGGCAAAAAACGTTACAATATGCCACAATATGTTATGTGATACCTGTGTTTTAGGGAGATCTACATGCTCATAATTTTCATTGGGCTGAAAATTTGGACACAGATTAATTTGATTATACAACGAAGACTTCAGAAAGTTCTCTTGGCTGCCATTTAGTGGGCATCCAGATTTCTGTAGTCCAGATAAGATAGCTTTAATGTGTTGGAATATCTAACAGTTCCTGGGAACATACAGAGAAAGGGGGAAATATGAGAAAGAGACTCAGAGTAACTCCATCTTAATTATGCTAGGTTTAAGTTGATCTAGAAAAGTGCTTTGATAGGCTTCTGAGACTTTGATACATTACCCCTCTAGCAATAAAGGTTTTTCCAGAAATCCAAGAGATTCTTGAGTTTGCCAGCTTTGCAAGGCTTGATACCCAGTGAAGGCTGAAGTCAGTTTTGACTGTAGCTTTTGGGTCAAGCTAACAATAAAACTGCAATACAATAAATATATTGTTCTCTAACAGAAGCCTCACTTGATCCATTTTATTTATCAATCCTCCCTTTTTTTTAAAGTGTTCTGTCTCCTCCACTTCCATCATGAGTAAGCCGACAGCAAATCTATTCAAATCAGAGAAAGCCAGATAGGAATAGAACAGAGAAGTTGGAAAGAGGTAAACTGCAGGTAGAAGATAAATTCTGCACATGTTTCTTTTGCTTCTAAAATGAAATCTGATCCCATTCTTCCTTTGAGGCTGAGATAATGACAGACTGAACTGCATAGGCCTCTAGTTCTGACTGGATTAATTGCTCATCATTGTTCCAACTTATACCTCCTCAGTCCAGACATCCTCCAGAACTTACATGAAACACATCTGTGGAGTATGTTTCAGCAGGAACAACCAGAAGAGATTAATGGAAATGGCAGAGGAGAAGGCTGAATGTCGGATCAGGAGAAACATACAATGGTAAAACAAAGAAAAGAGATTTCCTACTCCCCAAAGATAATATAAGCCTTGGATGGCATAAGAATTGCCTTCTACCTTGTTGGCTGGAACTTGCAGGACTGAGTATGGCAGAATGGGAAATCCAAGGTTTTTTCTTCCTGCTCCATTGGATTTTTGTCTCTTGCAAGGGATATACCACTCACATCCTTCTCCATGGGCATGGACAAACATTTTGCCACTCCTTGAAACTGTCCATCTAATTCAGTAGTCTGAGTGAACAAAACTTGCCATTTGGGGCAAGAAATTGGCTGTCTCTCTTTATTACATCAAAATCGTTCTCTTTCTTGGATTTAGAGATGTACCCTAATACATTGGCTTCACTTTCTCATTTTTGAGATTTCAGGTCCTTCTTTCTCTCTTATGGTCTGTCCTCCAAAGGACATTCCATGATAAAAGCCAGTGGGGCCCTCCATACCTATTCCAGCTTGAGAGATGAACCAGCAGCCTGAGTAGCAGCAGCGAGTAAGTTGAATTCAGATCGATATCCGGCACTGATGCCTGTAGTTAGACAACTTCTTGATATCACTTTGGAAGTTGGAGCCAGTTTGTTCTCCATCACAGTCCAGATCAAGCACGAACACATTTTTGTGGCTGATAGTCATGCTTTTTTAAAGCTTTTGAGGCTGCAGTTGCACACATTAATAGATTTTTTTTTTGTTTCTGTTGGGGAACTTTTTGATGGCTCCAGGGCCTACTAAAAGGTACTTGGACCTGCAGGTTGCTCTCACTTTGCACACCTTTGAGCTAGACTTACACAATTCTTATCTTTTCTGGCTAGTCTGACACACTGCCTGGGTTGGAAACAAACTTAGCTGGAGGCCATCAGATCAAGGAGGGTTGCTGCATGCAGCATCAGAAGGAAAATGAGAAAGGGAGATTCAGTCCATGAATCTTTTTCACAAACATGCAGCTTCGCTATGATGCCTGTGAAATAATAGGAATAAAAAATACACACAATCTATCACTTTTCTGTGACTCATTGTCAATACGCCATTGGGGGGCTGGGCATTGAGAGATTGTCACAATACATACCTGGCCTCCTTTTCCTTAGAGCGGCTACCAGTGCAAATATAGTCCTCCAGGTATCCAGCAGAGCAGACAATGTGAGTGAAATTAGGTTGGCAGACAGCCAGAAAATGTGGACGGAGGCGACCTACAGCAACCTTTGCCATGTTAGTGAGTGACTGACCCACACAGCAGCCAAAAAGGAAGGCCCCGATTTCTTTATAGAGGGCAGTCACATAAGGATTGGAGATTGTAGAGCGTGATCTGTGAGGCAGGTAATGCACGTGGAAGATTTCGCCTATAGTGATCTGCAAGAAAGAACAGAGATGTTGGTCTACAAGCAGTTTCTAAAATTTGGAAGTAAGAGATAGGAGAATAAATGTTTCTTAGGTAATGGGATATGGGATATGCACTGAGAAAGAGAAAAGGGGGATCCATCTTTAATGAAAAAAACTACAGAGCATTGGTATAAGAGAACATAGAATAATAGTGTCGGAAGGGGCCTTGGAGGTCTTTTAGTCCAACCTCCTGCTCAAGCAGGAGACCCTATACCATTCCAGACATATGGCTATCCAATCTCTTCTTGAAAACCTGGAGGTTTTCAAGAGGGATACAGAGGCCATTATGCTTAGCAGGGGAACCTGGTGAAGGAAACTATCTAATTACACAGTTAATTCTTTGAGCATTTGGCTATGGGAATTCCATAGTCAGGAGCTGTAGAAAATGACCTAGCATTCTTTCCCCCTTCCCTCCCTCCAGACTTACTGCTAGGAAGGAGATCAGGGTGCCTGCTGAAATGAGCACTGTGTCGGTGATGGTCTCGGGATGCTGCAGTGGGTAACTGATGCTACTGTCATTGCAGAAGAAGCCACGACGCACTGGAGAAACGAGGCCAAATTCACAGATGAAGAATGGGACGGACGCTACAGAAACAGGACAATTTTTTTTATTTTTCATTTCTTATTAAGTATTTTAACTTTAAATTTGCTTTATCTTTTCTTTTATCAGCATATAAATACACACACACACAACACTAACAGTTCAGGGGAGATCTTAATATTAAGTAATTAGCTTAAGACTGAAACCATTATCATCTATTTGATAATTTGATCTGAGTTGCAGCAGTTCTTTTTTAGTGTTATATTTACATTTGGATGGAAAAAAAACAAATTTTATGCTTATAATATTGACATCCTAAATGATAATTAACATTGATTTATTTTTCCCCTTCCTTTCTCTATATGCCAGCTAAATAATACAATGTTAATAATCTCTAATCATAACATATAAACATCACAATGCAATGTATAGAAGAATATAAACAATGCTGCAAATATAGAATACCAATCTAGCTAAAATCATCAGTGCTAGTAAGGTTTGCTCTCAATTTAAATTCTAATGCCCTCAGTGTGGGTGGGAATTGTCTTGGAGGTCCTTTGGTCGGGCCATTTACTGTTAACTTACTAGGACTGATGATGTTACCTAGTTTAGTAATGAAACATCTGCAAAAAAACCACCAAGCTCAGAGAGCACCAAGGACCCCACACCGAGGGAAAAAGAAAACAACACACAGGTACTTTCCCAGCTTGGTGCCTTCCAGAAGTATAAGTATTAGCTGTCATGTATTGAGGGCAATTCTAGTTCTTATGTTTTATTAAAGTATACTTATGATCAGAATAAGACATTGATTCATATAAATACAAAATTAGCCTAATTCTTGGGGACCTGGCTGATCCCGGGTAAGCAGACAGATAGAGTCCCTATCTAGGCTAAATTCTTCCTCTAGAAAGGAACAGCCAGCATGTATTGCTTGCTTTGAGAAATGCAAAATGCTGCACTGGGGTGGAATAGGGTGTGGGGGGGGGATACACAGCGAGAGAGTGTCTACATGGGTATGAAATATATCCAACAACATTCTTGCATCTTGCAGGACCTTCCTCCAAGTATGCAGCACCTATAACCATTATGGACATTTTGCTAATAAATAATACATGTAAGAATTTTAGAATACAGAACACAGCTTGGCAGAGTGGGAAAAGGACGTCTTCTAGTCCAACACTCGGCTCAAGCAGGATTTTCCTTTGGAACTTTAAAGTAAGCCTCTCTCTATATGTTATATTGTGGTTTACTCATTTCTGATCTATTCCTTCTGTTGAGACACATCTACTATCTAAACCTGTATTAGGTTTGAGGACAAATACTTCTGCAACTTAAGTTCTCCTCTCTCCTTGAATGCAGCTGCAAAGGGATTAAAAAGTTACAGTTTTGATTTACTATTTAAGATATCATCTGATACTAATCTGAGACAAGCCTCAGTGCATACATTTTACCATGGTTTATTTCAACAACCACAGCTTAAGACTAACAACAGTTTATCTGGGATGAGGTGACAAGGCTGACTGTAGTTTAAGAAAAGCAAAACTTATGGATTCTTCGCTGAGCTTCATTGGAAAAAAGGGAGCAATAAGCCTGTGGTTCACTATCATAAAATGCAATTAAGTAATTAAATGTATACAAGGTAGGCTATTATTAGACTGAGGGAATGAAATGAAGTTGCGGTTAGCTGAACCACAATGACTGGATTTACATGGTATATAAGCCCAAATCAAACCAACCACATTGTAGTTGTAATTCTTCTCTCCAGGTCTCATACGTTTTTCCTCACTTGCAGCTAACTAAACAAGGTGGTGAATGCATCTCTGCCTCATTCAGCCCAAATAATCTTTTTGCTTTCAAGCTTAATGCTGAAGAAAAATAAAGTGAGTTTGAGGAATGGCTTACATTTGTGAGAAAAAGTAGCTCTGATTGATGCCCGTTGGTTGACATCCACTGATTATGTTCAGGTTAGCTAAGTCAGATACAAGCCTAACATGCTGCAATTTGTTTTCTCCTTGGTTAGCTTTCTGTTAGCACTGAATCCTGACCATGATTCAAGGGATTGTATCTACAAGCCAAGAAAATGGGCTTATTTAGTAATCTAGTTAAGTGTAGTGTCTGAGTGGGGACATAATATTACCAAAAGCTTCCCCACAATTCCAAACCACATTAAAAAAAGGAACAAATGAGTGGTTGGATGCTTTGAAAAGCAAAATTAGGTAGGTGGGGAGCTAACCCAAATCATGGGGAAAGAAATATGATGACAGAAGCAAAATTTGCTGCTGAAAGGATGATGGTTTTATAATGTGATTAGGGAGTCTCTATCCTAGTTCACACCTTGTGCTAAGCCATTTTTTTAAAATCATGATTTGCTGAATAAGGCTTGCTCAACATGCTATGTCTAAATAACCTTCATAAGATGTGAAACTAACCAGTGTTTTCGTTTTATAATTAATTGGCTGTCCCAGGCATTACTACACTTATATGAGAAGAGGCTTTTTACGCTCTTGAAGATACCCTTCTCATAAAGCAGACCAGTGCTTCTCAACCTTGGTGAATTGGAAGATGTGTGGACTTCAATTCCCAGAATTCCACATATATTCCAATTTGCCAAGGTTGAGAAATGCTGTCATACAGCATAGACTTTACCACACAAGACTCCTCTTCCATCAATAGCTACCTTGAGAATGATCTTATGGCATTCTTGACAGGGGGACTTGGCTGAAGAGAAATGGGGAAGGACAGGGAAAGTGTGCTTAACATTAAGAAGGTTTCTGAGTGCCATTTTGGATATGCATGCTACTCTCACTAGGGTAGTTTCCTTTTCCCCCCATTTTCAAAATAACTTTTTGCTTTTGTTTAATTATATAGTTTTTGAAAACTGTTTTCAAAGTTAACGTATCAGAAAGCACATCTAAACAGCGATTCGGTGAAATAATAGCTTCTTTCTTGCATTTGTCTCAGCTTTTGTTTGGTTCTCCCCTCCCCCGCCCATGGAAAATAAAGCGATTGGCAATTGCTTTCCTGGCATGGGAAGCTGGGAGGGCACAGCAACAGGGAAACTGTCTGGGGGTGAGAGAGTGTGCATAGCAGCCAATAGTCCAGACTGAATTCCTGGCAAGTTGCTGCTGAAGTGTCCCAACCTGCATAGAATTTCTTTAAACTGGTTTATAGTTCAGCTGGCATCAGCATGGAGAACAGTAGTGCAGAATTGCCTCTAGACTTGAACTTGGAAAACAGTTCCCCAAATTTATGGTTTTACCACAATATTTACTACCGGTAGATGCACTTTTGGCAAGTCATTGGCTGAGATGACACAATGCACTAAGCCACAATTGGGATTAATGAATCACCCAAAGGTAGTCCTTGTCTTACAAATGTTCATTTAGTGACTGTTAAAAGTTACTAACGGCACTGAAAAAAGTGACTTATGACCGTTTTTTTCACACTTATGAAAATTGCAGCGCCCCTTTGGTCACATGATCAAAATTCAGAAGCTTGGCAACTGGTTCCTATTTATGACGGTCGCAGTGTCCCAGGGTCATGTGATCCCCTTTTACGACCTTCTGACAAGCAAAGTCAATGGGGAAGATTCACTTAACAACTGTGTTACTAACTTAACAACTGCAATGATTCACTTAACAGCTGTGGCCAGAAAGGTTGTAAAATGGGGCAAAACTCACTTCAATGTTTCATTTAGCAACATAAATTTTGGGCTCAATTGTGGTCATAAGTTGAGGACTACCTGTATTAAGACTAGATTCATTTAGTATCCCAGGGAAAAACAACTGTTTACAAACCACAAGGTTTGATTCGCCCAATGCTCAAAACCAAAGTCAAATCAAATGCATCGTGACATGACTGAACTGTGTTTCTCTACCTAACAGAACCTGGAGCCTCCTAGGAGCAAGAATAGGATTCAGGTAGACTAAACAAATGAGGTTTGTACAGGAATAGAAATACCTTTTGCAACCCAACTAGGGACAAGTTGCAGATAGCTGGGACAGAACAGTTCTCAAGGCAGAGAATGCCACAGGGTGACACTCAGGGTTTCTCTGTCAACTGTCCAAGGCATCTATGCACTCCCCCACCCCCCCCAAGTAACCTCCCTTTTTCTCGAATTTTGCCAACTGGATCCTCTGGGAATCCAACTCTTTTGTCTTTCTTGGGAGTAGCAAATAACAGAAGGAGAAAAATTAAGACAACAGTACTCTAGTGATGGAAGGGAACCAAACAAAAAACTCCAAGACCAGAACCACAGACCTTGAGAGCTCCTGAGCATATTCCTTCATTGAAATGCAAAGCAATCTACCCCTCACCAGCTGTTGATTAGGGTGGGATAGCTACCAGTGGGGTTTTAGGTATGACATGTTGATTATCTGGGGCGTGGCTAGTAACAACCCCTGATCCTTTGAGGCCATACACAAGCCTGCCTCACATGTTTCAGTTATGCCAATACGTGTCTTTTCAATCTTTTGATTTTATCTGATGAGTATTGCTAAGAAGCTACATATTCCTTTCGCATTATCCAAATTTTCCTCCTACCCCCTTTCTTAATTTTCTGAAGGTCTTGCTTGTTAGCTCACAAAATAACCTTGCCAGGTTCCCACAATAGTCATCTCTTGCAATCATCTCCCTTCCCCCCCCAGCTCCCCTTATATGGTGCCCCAGCCCTGCCATGCATGTAGATCTTCCTTGGCACTTGGAGGGAGCTATTAATATCCACTTTTCTTGGCGCCCTGAGGTATTCCCATTGCCTCGCTTGGCCAACTGCCCAGGTGCAACCCTAACAAACGGTGAGACTGGCCGAGCGGTTCCACCAGGTTGAAGATCCCCTTCTGAAGAACTGATTGGATTCACACAATCCAATCACAATGGCACAATGTGTTCCATTTTCTGCATAAAACAAAGCAGAGGGGGGACACAGTTTGCTTGTGGTTTTTTGTTTGTGTGTTTCACTCTCCTCTAATAGACTCACTAGAAATGCAAAACAAGAGCAGCTAAAAAAGTGGGGAAACAAAGTAAGCCAAATAACCCGTGATTGTTT